AAGATAACGTCAAAATGTAGTAAAAACATCAGTGACACACTCAGCTGCGCCTAGCGTGCCGACGTTTTTGTTCTTACCCCATTTTGACGTCATCTGGAATATCTTTTTTCAACAGACGCAAAGCAACATGGAATTTATTTGTTAAATATTCACGGATTAAACACTGACCAATACTATTTTTACCTTTAAGTCCACTCCATCAGTGACCACAAAGTCCTCGTAGATGTATGAACCTTTTTTCCGCACCGAGCTTTCTGGTGAGTACACGCTGCTTCTGTCCCCGACCTTTCGGAACAATCTCTGGCTCCCGCCACCAATTCTCGAAGGGAAATAGATGTACACATTATGGTCTTCCGCATCGACTGGTTTCTCTACAAAAGGCTTATGGAATATCATGTCACCAATCTGCACTGAATCGTCCAGTTCGACAAATTTCGTGTTGCTGGGATTTCCATCGTCATCTCGTAGCAATATTGCGTGTCTTGGTGTTTCGATACCTGCACTCTCTAGAAGGCTATACATTGTCGGTCTGCAATGAAGAAAAGGGTTTCTTGGGTTTGATCTTTCTGAACGTAAATGTTCTTATATAGAACACGTTACTCTGTAGCCTTGTTGTCATACGTAGAGGAGATGCTGAACTCTATGGGTGATTTCGCAGATTTTGTGAACCGCTATCTGAAGTGAATTTGAAATGTCAAGAGAGACTTCTCAAATGAATCCTCTGAGAATAAAAGTTTTGCGCTTGGTTTTATTCAAGGAAGGTTCTTTAGGAGGTTTTTTTTTTAATAACGTTGAGTTTTAAGGTGTTGAAATAAGGCTACTGTCTGATCAAATTCTCACAATAACGCCCACAAACACGAAAAATGGAATTCTCGGAAGAGTTTTTTGAGCGAATTTTGACTGGATTGTCTATTTGGCTTTACGTTCTACTAACCTGTCCATTAAAGCATACTGCATTTCCAGATCATTAAGGCTGAAAGGTTTCCTCAGCTTGGTATACTCAATAGCTTTCTCGAGTGGAAATCCACTCGAATAAAATGAAATCAGACAGTCACAGATGGGCCATTCTTCCACTGGAACATTCAGGATAATGTCATCAGGAAACACAAAGATGTCCACACAATCAAATGCTGACATTCGACCCAAGATCTCTTGCATGGGTTGAGCTCTTGTCTAAGAGAAAAGAGAAACTTTCAGCATGAAAATCTTTGGATTTTACGCTGTTAATCATTTGAAATGTATTGCTGCCTCCAGGTTGTAGCCTCTTCCAGCGAAGCGCGTTAGTATACGGCTAGCGAAAACCGAGGGAGGTTTGTATCAGGTATTTACTGAACGTCTGGAACGCGAGGAAATTTGTAAATTTAGCATTACAGCATTTCATTACAGGAAGTTGTGACGGCAACTCACTAAATGTAGTTCGGGAAAACGAGAAATATTGATGCCCCATTCACACCAGCACTACATGCTTAGTTAAACTAGCTTTACTGAATAAAACCAGTAGCAGAAATTTTACATAGAGTTCAAGAAATCACCAACTTTTATTTTCATTGTGCTACATTTGAAGTCAGTAAACATCAGTTTAAACAGCTTCTATTAAGAAAAAAATTTCAGTATTATTTTGTGTTCAGTCGTCCAATGAAGAGAGATTTTACGTTTTTTTATAAATCTTTTTTTTTTCTGAGAATCACCTTTTTATTCATGGCGCAGATGCCAATCCTGATCTTAGGTATTTGATCTCCTTCGTTATCCTCGTCCTCATTACTGTCTTGATCTTCTTCAACGTGTCTGTTATAAAGAGATCCGTAAATGCTCTCTCGTTCAAATACTTTACCTTGAGCCACGGACATGATCCTGGTTGGCAAATGCGGTTCTTCCCGCACCATTCTATTCCATTTGTTTATGTGACGACTCTGAAATAATTAAATAAAATTACGTAATCAATTTTTATTGATTCTCGAAAGTAGTCCAGGACTGCATTAGTTTTACTTCACTAAGCTAAGGGATTGGTTGGAAAAACTCGCGCAAACTCCCTAACCGCTGAAATGAAGAACTAAAGTCAAATGAAACTTGGCAAGTCGTGTTTTCCCTCGCTTTAAACAGTTTGCATGTTTTAACTTTGATTTATTATTGGCTCCTTGAGATATTCTCTTTGTTCGTATTAGCTGCTTTCATCACTTTGGTTTTGGTTCGCGACCTTAAACGGAATGTGCCTGATCACACGTCTAGATTCGTGAGCGGGCAAGTTGAAGCGAACTTGTGTTTTCATTGGCCCACCTTACACACTCGGGATTGCGAGATTAATCATAATTATTACAATTTTCTCACATGTGATTTGTGCATTAGCAGCTTCATTTTTCACTAATCGTTCTGTACAGTTGTACTCGAACACCTGTAATGGGACAATTGAAGCAGCCAATCATACTAAGTCCATTAAGCTAAATCCACCAATCACAGAATTGATCACAATAACCATAGCAACAATCACTTATCCTAAGAAAAATGGGGACTTGCCAAAATGGAGGAACTTTTAACTTTAGACATTGTCTCTATTGGAGATATTTGGTTTAGATGTTTTTTTTTTTTTTTGAAAATTGTAATGGTTATGATTAATTGGTAACAGGACTTTCTGTCGTCCAATTCTGTCTGTAATCATAGTCGTGATTAACAAATCGAATTCCCGCTTCGCAGTCGTCGGATTTTGTTATTCACTCGTATAATTTCAGACCGAATTGGACTCCACTCGGTCCCTTTACCATTATTAATCCTGCAAATGAAAACCGTGCTCTTCGCTTCTTCGATTGATTTCTTCGTAACTTCTAGGCAAATTATCACTGCTGCAGGGAAAACGTACCCCGGCAAAAACAGTCACAACGTATTACTGGACTGAACAAAGAAAACTTCGACAGGATTTTGTTTGGAAATTCCACAATTTACATTCTCTGCTAAATAGCTAATCATTTATTTACTAATGTTGTTAAGTCAAGATGGAAGATTTTTTTTTTTTTTTTTTAATTTACTTTGTTTCCTTTTTCAATTTTCCTTTTGAAAGTCTACTTTTTTAAGACGAGGACTCCGTAAATATCAATCCAAATTTTTTCTCTTATTATTTAAAACATGCCATCTCTCTTATTCTTTTTATTTATTATTTAGTATTTCGTGCAATCGTTATCATGGTTTCTTATCCAGAATACTTTGGTGGCGTTTAACCTGACGTGATGATTGCGTGACAATATAAACGTGACAAATTTTCTGTCGTTGTTAATGTCATAACATCACAATACATATTAATGAACTCATATACAAACAGTTTTACTGATACTTACGAAAACATTGAGAGAGCAATCGCGGTCCTTTTTCCAAATGATATATAGATGCGCATCTAATTTTAAATAAGTTCCTAATTTCTCTGTCAGGGCTTCGGAAATATGTATTTGTTGACCAAAAACCAAACACACACAGATAGTTCAAACTCGTGCTAATCCTGTGGACTATGTTTGTCTACAGAAAATAATTTTACTTCCCTAGTTATTGAGTTTATTCCCCTGCAGTAGCGAAAAATATGTCATCGACTAAATAAATCTACAATCACGAGACAGAGAGGTATATAGCATTTACGCGAACCTTGAATATCATATTAAAAGATTTTGCAATACCCATGAAACCTTCTGACGTTCGCAGGCAAAGGTCGTTCCAACCACATGACCTCGTTTCAAGTTTTAGAAATCCGGATTTTTCCTTTTCACTGCCCGTTATCGGACTAACTTAATGCCAGAAGTTGCGTAATCAAAATTTGTCTCGCTTGATGTACGACAATCGCTGATTGACAACAAAATATCGTGTGTTAGGCGGCGAGCATGTTTAATACTTGTCAGGAAAGGTGACGAATCGCTCAGAAGAGGGCCACTGTCTAAAATTTTAGATCAAAGCATAATACCTTGGAGATACTAAAGCTGTAAGGCCCCTCATTGGAACCTGATCTTCTGTTTCCTCTCACTTCAAACAAAAAATCACCAAAGAAATTCGATTGTAAATTCGCTTTGAACAAAGCGACGCGCTAATCCAAAACCCAGAGCGAGGGGGTGGGGTCGGGGGTGTGTATGAAGACCTCTCTCTCGCTATAACAGTCAGTGATGCAAGTCTTCAAGCCGGAATATGCTATTTTTGGCTACCCGCGTGGATTTGTAAATTATATTATAAGAATTCGCTTGCGTAAAGTAATAAATATCCTCATGCTCTCGTTTCAAGTTTCGCGACGAATATGTTTTGACACTGGTTTCAGTAAATTACGTAGCGCTAAAAGATGTCACATGTATTGTTGTCGATTTCATAGCATTATGTATCATAGCTGTCTCAGCGAGCTTTTGTCTTGTCACTGCCCATAAAATACACGTGCTTCAGTGCATTCAATAGGAAAGCACCGAGAAAGACGACCTCTTGCCTTACCTTTAAAAGTCATTCTTTGTAACACGGTTGTAAACAAAACTCGAACGCACCACAATGCTCGCGCGATTACTTAATTTAAATTAAAATTGTTTGGTTTCTAATGAAAGAGGTTAGCTCTTCCAGCGTCGTAGCAAAGTTTTGAGAACTAAGACCTTTTCAAAGTTTCAACGCATATCGTTCATGAAACAACAGCTCTCCAAAGCAAACTGGTAGAGCTCTGAATTTGCATTCAGCATACTTAAATAACACGTTTATGCACTAAACATGACCATTCAGACACGAGCAAAGAACACGACAGGACAATCAACAACATTTCTCACTCTGGACGCTAAATATCTGCAAACAGTACATACCCTCCACTAACTGATAATTCGTTCGACGCGATCGAAAGAAACGTATCATGATGAAAGGATGCAAACGCCGTTTGCCCTTTCACCTTGTCAATCCGCGTTAGATATCTTGTTTATGCGGTGGTTGTTACTTCTTTTTGGCTCGATAGAAAGTTCTTTTGGATTGGTGTGCTTGGAATCCAATCAAAATAGGGCTATTATATGCGATGACGTCATGAATTTCAAAATGGCTGCGGAAACATAGAATTGAAAATTTGTAATGTTGATCTTGATGGCTACGTCTTAACCTGTCATGCCATCGTCAGAGAAAAAGAAAGTTAAGGACCTACACTTGGCTTCCAACTTGGAGGAACTGAACAAAATAGCTGATCCAGGCTTGCCCGTCGACAGAAATGCGAACCCTTCACCGTAAGCGACATACTTCGTTATTACGTTGTCAGATTTCTCAGTTCCTGCTAAGCTCAAATCTTTCGCTTTCCGAAAATCTAGGGTCATGGCTTTGCCTATGATAACTTTAAACTTTTGATTAGGCAGCTAAAAATCGTCCAAGGTCGCCTCACCAATCCACTTTCTCATTGTCTACCAAACACTTATATGTTTATTTCGTGGTTCAATTTTATCCTCTGGTCAAATTTTATTTTCTTTTGTTTTTGGGAATTGAAATATATGATAATGAGTTTGAAACAAAGGAAAATAAAATTTGAACAAAGCATAAAATTGAACCACAACATCTACATTACCCTGATGAGTGATCTGGTTTCGATTTGAATATAATTTTTAAAACGTAATTACTTCACCTTCACAAGGAAAATGTATCTACGCATAGAATCTACATTTTGGTTTTAGGTTTTATCAGAGAGCAATAGTTGAAGTCCCATCTCCAAAGATGTACGATGTTCTAAAGATATAGATTAGTTTTAAGAAAGCACAAGTTTCTCCTTTGGGCACAGAAATTTTCTTCTTTACCCTCCGATTTAAATTTTCACTGTTTCTGTTCAGCTCTCACTATAAGTTGCGTGCACTTTGCTTCTTAGTTTAAATTGAATCAAGGGTGAAGGTGAACGAAACAAGTTTGAATTGCTTAATTTTTAATTCTAGAGTGGTTCTTGAACAATGGAAATTGAAAATCAGTTAATCTGAAATCATTTCACTTGGGGTAATAATTTAAACTACTGCAAATGTACCAAAACACCTGTTTCCTGTTGCATACATAGATACATCAAATCAGCGGATAAAGTTTACCTGAAAGCTCAAGATAATGATCTGGAAGGTGACGAAGAGAGTGCATATGTATATTACATGCGTTATTTTAACATCATCTGCTTGATTAAAAAAAGCAGTAAATACTCAGACAACAAGGTGGGTAATGAGCAATGTCTTAATTTATTACACCCTAGCATTAGCTTTTACAGTTATATTCTCCTCACTGTCCTCTATACATTTCCTATGGTACTGAAAGGGAGAATTTGTTTAACAATCAGGGACTTCTTGAGTTGGTGATTTTTTCCTTTATTCTCATGACCTTTTCAATTGATTCAGGGGTGATACTGTAACGAGAAATTAGGGGTGAGAAGGTTACTGTGTACCAAGGCTTTCCTTCAAGTGTTAGCAGATTAAAATGAAATGTTAATCTACAGTTACTGTTACTACATTTGAAAAATCATAATGGGAAACTGAGGAAATTACCTCAAGAAATGGGAGAGAAGGATTATTTTGTTGTAAAGTTGTCTGCATGTACACTGTACATAAAATGATATACTTCTTTGTATCATGGTTACATCTGACATACTGATAAGCCTATTTCTGTTGTGTTTGAATTCACAGAAGCATTATGATAATTTGTTGGGGAAAAACAAAACTATAAAGTCTATTGAGCGCGCGGAAGTTTTGCAAAAAAACCTCAAGAAAAGGTTGGTAGTTGGCATATAAGATGCAGAAATGCTCAATTAAGGTATAACAGTTCTCAAAAACAACTTCTTTACTTAATTTACAACAGTCCTCAAACCAAACCAACATTTTTTAGATACTTTAAGAACAATACATTGTAATTCATTGTAAAACAAAATTAAAATGATGTATTTGCTAAGATATTGTTCAACTAATCAGATTTGATTCAAGGTTTTGAAGTTACTACAAGTTACCTTTGTATTGTTGCCAAAGGAACTATCACTAAACCTTTGAAAATCTGTTTCTTCAGGTATGAGAAGCTAAAAGATCAAAAGGAAGCTGAGGCAAAAGCACAGGAAGAAGCAAAGCAAAAGGAAGAGGAAGACAAAAGTAAAATAAAATGAACACTCCTAGACATCTTTAACTAGTTTGGACAATTCTCCAGAGAGATGTTCATGATGTTTGTTTGTCCCTCTCTCTCTCAATAATGTTGTTGTTTGTCAGTGTATCTCTGTCACCCCTCAGATTTCAGGGTATTGAAGGTTGTAGGTGACTCAACAAGTGTGTCTTAATGTGTAGCTTAAGTTTCATCATGGTGATTTTATGTATTGTGTATGGCCCATATAGTTATTCATGCACACTATTCATAACTGGATGATATACTTTGTCATTGTTAAATAATTTTAAAATTTTTTTTGTGAGTATGTGGTTACATGTACTGTATCAACTCCGGTATATACAATAAGTTACAAAATTGTTGACAAATTGCCAAAAGTTGAATTATTATCACTTTAAAATAGCACATTTATTTCATCCCCAATATCCTTACTTTAAACCCTTCTTCTCATGTACAATGGTGCACCTTGTTTTCTGTGATTCTGTAATAGCACAAATTTGAGGAGTGAAAGAGGTGAAGCTAACAGTGCTTCAATTTAAATTTCATTTATAAATACCTCCCTTAACTTGGCTACATGGATTTTATGTACCAAATACCTGTAATTTTTTTGCTGATTGGAGGTTGTCTCCCCTTGGAATTTCTTTAACTTTTTCCCTCTTAATGGTTTAATTTATAATCCAGTTGAATTTCATCTTTTACAAAATATGCTTCTAAAACAAACTTTGGAATGTAACACAAAATCATATCTTGAATGAATAAGCCTTATTACTAGATTACAAATTAAGGTGTCCCACAGTCTTTTGAATTATTTAAGAATAAGATCACATTATCCTTTAATAGTAATGATTTGAGTTTTTCTTTGTTTGGTTTGTAGAAAAATTAGCTGCATTAAGGGCAAGGAATGGAAAGGGAACAGACAGGTAAACAACTAAAACATGATCTTGACTCATGAATGACATGCACAAGAAGATGTCAATTTACTGTATCATTCTGTTCATATGTATATGAATCCCAAAAATGTCAGTTTGCTTTGGACATTAGTGAACTAAATTTGATGTACTATTTCAAAAACAAGTGCGAGGGTTTCATCAGGTTTCCAAATGCGAGAAAACATTTGAAACCACACGGCTGCAGGCTGAAAGGTTTTGTTGTTTTCAAGTGTTTGGAAACCTGATGAAACCTGAAGCATGAGTTTTTGAAATGACTTTTCCAGAGAAACAATACAAAATTATGCAGTGTTTTGTTTTTCCCATTTTTCTTTAAAATGCCTTGTATGTGTGATTTGTTGTATTCAGTAAGCATTCGTTGTGTTTGTGAGCTTTTGTTTTTAATTATCCAATAGTTTTGTGTTGCACCAAATTTGTATTCCAAAAGCATTGTGAACTTGAAGTGATTTACATGTCGTTTTTGCCATGGGCAAAGGAAGGTTTCGCTTCCCAAAAACGATTGAGGAAGAAAAACTTTGCTTAGAGAGAGTGGTACCGAAGTCTATCAGATATAAAATAAGTGGGCAGTAGGCATTTTTGAGGATTGGCAATGAGTGCAAAGTGTCAAGTTTCCAATAGTCGAAGTTGGTGGAGTTTTTAAAGAGTATGAATTGGACAAAGTTCAGCCGCTTACTCAGCCCATGACAGAGATGGATGCATTGATGCTCAACTATTGGTTATCCAAATTTGTTCAAGAGTTGGCAAAGTGTTCCAAAGATCTGTACCCCCTCAAAAAAATTGTACCAGATTGTCTGCAGCATTTTCTGATTCATGCAGATTAAGAACAATTTTATCACTACTGATGAAAACGTGATGAAACACTAATGATGAAAATGTGATGAAACACTAGTTATTTTAAGCTGGTGTTTCATTGAGTTTCAAAGTCATCCACCTGACCCGAATGGGGCTCTCTGGTTGGCTTATAAGGTCATGAATTATTAATGAGTTTGAGAATAAGTTTTGAAAACATTCTGATAGAAATACTAGGGACTTGTACTGACAGTGGTATGGGTGACTTATTTGTTAGTGCTAGTGCGCTGGACTCCAGGTCAAGAGGTCTGGATTTGAGACCTGGCTGGGTTGTTGTGTTGTGTTCCTGGGAAAAGAACTTTACTTTCACAGTGCCTGTCACCACCCAGGAGTGTAATTGGATACTGGGGCATCATGAGGGAAGCCTGATGAAATGCAGGGGGTAAACTTGTGATGGTCTGACAGCCCATCCAGGGGGGAGTAGTAAAACTCCCAGTCACTTCATTCCATCACAACTTCAATAAGATCTGGCTGGATAAGCCACTTGGCTCCAGTACAGACTTAACCTACCTTTCCTGTACAAAGTTATTCTTAATGGACTATATAAAGTGGAAATTAGGGACTCTCCATGAAATAGAAGGAATCCTTTCTCTAATAAACACTTTTTTAAAACTGAAATTTCATTTTTTTTTAATCTAGATTTTCATACATATTGACATTTACACTTTTTACATCTGTTGAATGGTTTACTCTCCCAGATAAGCATTGTAAATAAATTGTAGAATGTCAAATACCATGACACAGTGATACTTTAAGTTCTTCAGGAGGGTTTATTTTCTGTTTGATTACTTTGTTAGTGACAGTGGCTTTGAGAGTGATGTTGATTCTCTCCAAAATGGAAATGGCATAAGCTCCTCCTCTGATGTTTATAACAAGCTTCAGGTGTGAACATTCATGCATGTGGAGAAGTGATGTTTCTGTCTTCTTCTTTCATCTATTAAGACTTCTAAGCTTATCAGCTAAAGTGTTTTTTCAATCAATGTTACACCAACTTCTATTGTTTAATATACAAGGAAATGTATGGCAGTCAGTCAGGAGGATTTCTAGTTGGATCTCTGGAGTTTAGGACTTGGGAGATTAAATCTGGCTGGTACAATAAAGGAAAAGATGAATTCAGTGTATTTTATGCTACAATATGAGCCACTCTGAAGAGTTCTATCATTTGATTGTATTAACCAAAAAAACATTTGAGAGGCTCTTCAAGTTAATTATAAGTGGATTTGAATAGTAAAGTATTAGTATCACAATTACAAGATTATCAGTAGACCTGCAGCTTTCAAATATGTTAGTTTTAAAATTGTGTGCAGTATTTAGGATCAAAATATCTTTGCCAATCATGAGTGGGGGAATTATGATTGAAAGAAGGGGAAATGTTAATGTGTGAAGGTAAAGGCTGTTGAAAAGAATATAATTGGTTAGGAGACAAAGTTTTCATCCACTTGTGGAATTATATAATCTTCATAAAGTGTGCCTTTTAACTTCAGGTCAACCATAATTCTATTCTTACTCCAAAAACAACTGAAAATGACGGTGGTAAGTTTTACAATTTCATAAAAGATTCACCTTAAACATTTGTATATTTTAGGTAACAAGGAATTCAAAATTTGAGCAATGTAAGAATTTGCAAATTGGAAATGAGACGTAATACATGTATGTTTAAGTTTATGTGAAGTCTTATGCTTCTTTAGATCAGTAAAGATGGTAAATGAATGTCTTTTCTGGAAGAGATTCAGGAGAGAGTCAGGCACCCCTTACAATAATTATTGGTTGTTTCACTTGAATGCTGGTGGCATGCATTTCATTGGTTTTTCTTTTAGGTGCACTTATAAGTGGAGTGGAGTCTCCTACCTCATCACTTGTCTCAGATGGTGTGAAGTTTATATCAGCACAAGAACTGTACAAGCGCATAAAAGATTCTGAGTTCAAAATTCTGATCCTTGATTGTCGACCCTATGCCAAGTTTGCTGAAAATCGAATCCAGTGTTCTTGTTGTATTAATATTCCTGCTGAATTGCTGGATCAAGGGTATGAAACATATATTGTTATTATTCTCACTGGAATGGTTATATCCAAATTGAACAATTAGTTGTCAGATCTAAAGTTAATGTTGGTGAAGTTTTGATAATTACCGGTAAGCCAATTTGTGTTACAGAGTAACATTGCAGAACGTTTTGGTAAGTGCTATGTTTTATTAATGAGAAAGTTAAAGTATAACTACTGTTTGAGTTGAATTAAATCCATTTTCTTTTCAAGGGTTTCAGTTGGCAGCATAGAGAGAAGACTGCCAGAACGAACAAGAAAGACTTGGAACAGGAGAGGAGAAAAAGAGCTTGTTATTTTAATGGATGAATCGACCAAGTTTTCAGAGATAACCCCGGAATGCAGAATTCAGAGGCTCAAAGATGTGATATTCACCTATGACTCCTACAGCTCATTGAAACATGAACCTGTGTTTCTTGATGGTGGATTTCATAGCTGGCTTTGGCACTATCCATCACTGGCCATGAAACCAGAATTACCAACGGTATTTTGGAAATTCTCTGATTTTGACTTACTTGACTGACTCGAGAATAAATAGCTTGAGACATGTCATGGAGAGGATACTTACCAATGACTCTAAAACTTCATTATACCTCTGCTTACTCATATTCATTATGAATAAATGCAGTTTTGACCATTGAGGGTGCTTTATGACTCTGAGCCCTTGTTAGACACGATTTATTGTCCAGGGACAGATGGTGTGTTTTGCCTGGGTAAAGAAGGCATTGAAATTAATTTCGTAGAAATACCATAAATTTGTCTTTAAATGTTAGTTTTACTATGATGAGGCAAATGGTCTTAATATGATAAATAGCACGCTAGAAGGCAGAGGGTTCTAGTTAAATAAATGTACTATTACATGTTAATTAGTCTAATGTGTGCTGTTCTTTACTCTTACTAGGTAAGGACACAACCTAAAGCTGTAACTTCTGTGGATTTGTCATCTTTAGACTATCCTGAACTACCTGAAGATAAGACATTAACCCCTCAGTCTTCTGTGACTGATCCTACATCCAGCACTTTGCAGTATCCTGGTGTCCCAATTGCCAACCTTCAAAATATGCAAGGTCCAAAAGGCAGTACTGAACAAAACAAACCACCCTCCCCAACACAAGCAGAATTCAATTCTAATGTACCACCATTGGGACAACCTGGAGAGACTCCATCAGGAGCAGCTTGGAGTCATGGTCCAGGAGCAAAGTCTAAGCAACTAGGAATTCATCCTGTAGTTCCTCCTTCACAACCTCCCAATGACATTCAATTGCCAAGACCTGCTGATGCAGGTCCTCCCCAAGATAAAGCTCCAAAACAAGAACCAGTGAATTTGCCACCAACACAATCTGTTACTTCATCTGAAGGTTTGCCACTTCCCTCAGCAGGACCACAGTCATATATGGGAGTAGCTCCTCAGGCAGTTGTTCCATCTTCAGCAGATTTGAGGGCAACAGGCCCTGAGCCAAAAACAATGGTACCCCATCCATCAAGTCAACCTATTTTTCAGCCCAATATTCCTACTACTGCTCCCAAAACAGTGCCAAGTACCCAGCCATCTTCTCAGTCAAGTGCAACTGTTACAAAGCCATTTCCACAGTCAAGTGTGCCATTCACAGGCTCTTCAAGTACACTGTCTGCTCAGTCAGGACCCCCCAACACAAAATCTACCCTACAGCCCAGTGTATCTATTCCTGGCACCCAGCCATCCAGTGTGAACTCTACTTCCTCTCAAGTAATGCCTTTGGCTTCTGTGAAAGTGACTCCAGCAGTATCAACTTCATCCTCCCCACAAGGCTCAGATTTTGTTTCTCCACCCTACCTTGACAATGTGTCACAGCAAGTAACACAAAGGGTACAACCACAAAATCAACCACCTGTTGCTCCATCAGTGAGTCAGGTGCCGCATGTTGGCAGGCAAGATCCTGATGGGTCATCTATTCCCATATCACAAAGTCATCAAGTAATCACAACTTCTATCTCAGGAGCAGATACAAGGAATACAAATTTTACTGCTGTGAAACCTAGTGCAGCACCTCAATCAGGAAGCCCACAGCATTTTGTGCAAGGACCTGTCCAGAATGGAGCTAGTAAACCAACCGCAACTGTTGGTAAAGACTCTGAATCCCCAGCTCTGCCAAAGAATTCAGACTCTGCTCAAAAGCCTGATAGCCGGCCAAGTAACTTTGTCACCACACCAGGACTGCCACATGGATGGGAAAAGGTTACTGATGATGGAAACAGAACTTACTACAAAGATCATAATACACAAACAACACATTGGAATCCACCAACAACTGGAAAAGCATATGTTACGCCACAGTCTGGTGCACAAAGGCAGCAGCAGTCTCCAGTGAAAAGACAGTCTTCAGTAGAAAGGCCAAAATTGCATAGATCTAATTCTTCACCAAATCTTGCTAAGGTCAAAGATCAAGGCTCTTCTGGTCCCAAGAAGCCAATAATTGATCGCTTATCAAAACCAGATTCTGGACAAAAGGGACCTGCAAGGCCAGTTGTGAACCGCATTGCCAAACCTTTGTCTGCCAATCAGCTTGATAGTTTTAATCCAAGCTATGGTGGTCCAGGAATAGGGTTAACTGGACTACGTAATCTGGGAAATACCTGTTATATGAATTCTGTGGTGCAGTGCTTAAGCAGTGTGGCACCGTTGGCAACATATTTCATTTCTGGAGTATTCAGGGAAGACATTAATAGGAGTAATCGAGATGGAACAAAGGGTAGGTAGATTTCATGAATAATTCTTTTAATTTAAATTTATAATTTTGATTTTTTTGTAGTGTTTTTTCTATGTGTTTTGGCTCTCAATAACATCAAGAATTACTTTTCATTTGAAAATCAGCTTTTGAGATATCAGAGTGTTTGGAGTGCTTCTTAATTTTAGCTCAAACTCTTGACTTCACATCTATTTTCAGGAGAACTTGTTGAAAGCTTCTCAGTTCTTGTCAGAGTCTTGCATTCTGGGCAGTATAAATGTGTTTCTGCAATAGAATTTAAACGGACAGTGGGAAAGTTCAAGTCACAGTTCTCAGGGTATGACCAACAAGATTCTCAAGAACTCCTAGCCTTCTTAATGGATGGTTTGCAGGAGGATCTCAACAAGGTACTGCAGTAGCAGGTGTCTGAAGTCTTGTCTTCTGAGAACACCTTGATGCTAATTTTATTGAAAAAATGTGAGATGTTTTAATGGCCTGTTATTAACACAGTTTAGTAATTTGTCTTGCAAGGTTTTTGGCTTGTGTTTTTGAACACAAGCAACAAGGGGTGAGTAAGGAAATGAACGGATAATGGGAAATAAGCTGTTCTCATTCCATCTTGAGCTAAATGTTTCTTTCAGCCCTGCTACTAGTGTTTTGAAGGCAAGATGACACAAAGTACACCCAATGTTTCTCATAATGTGGTTTGTCAGATTATTCCATCCTATTTTTGTCTCCTAGGTGAAAAACAAACCTTATCTTAGAGCACCTGCTGATGACTTAGATCCCCAGACAGCTGCTACTATGGCTTGGGAAAACCACAAGAAGAGGAATGAGTCAATTATGGTGGAGTTGTTTGATGTAAGATAACATCACTACTGACAGTACTATTCATTTTGATATTATGTTTAATAATAATATATAGGATTGTTTATGAGTGAAACTGAGAAATAAAGTTTTGTAAGTTTTAAGTTTTAGTACTGAGTTATGAGTGGGTACACTGTTATACAAGCAGGTAATCCAATTACAATAGAGAATAATTTGATGACAAATTTTACAAATATTTGCTTCAACAAGATTTCCCAACTTCTGTTAGCCAAACTGAATCATTAAATGTTGCATAACATCGCAAAGCAACTAGATTGCTATGTTTTGCATTTTCAGGGCCTCTTCATGTCGACTGTACGCTGCATGGTTTGCTCCAAAGAATCCAGAACTTTTGATTCTTTCTCCAACCTCACTCTTCCACTGCCTCCTAACAAGAGTCATTGTTCACTTGAGGTATTCTCACAACTTTATATATAGAGAAGAATATCTATGTGCAAAAAAATATCCATGACTTGTTTTTTGTGAAGTTATTCTTTGGTCTGTGGAATAAGCATCATCTGAATGAACAAATTATGTTCGAGAAAATGGCCCTGCATGTGCTTGAGGCTAAATGGCAGTTTTTTTATCATATGGCAGTTTTATTATCATATGGTGATAATTGTAATGTGTGCCCACTGAGTCATCTCAGGTATCACCATATGGTAGGTTTTAGTCCAGTAATTAGAATTATTTTATATTATTATGATTTTAGGATTGTCTCACTTTGTTCACCAAACCTGAGAAAATGGCAGGGGATGACAAGTGGTAAGACAGTATAAAAGTTTTTCTTTCTGATTACCTTTTTTTTTTGTGAAAGTGGGTTGGTCAGTAAGGCCAAGAAAGAAGTAAATAAAAAGCTTTTGTACTGGAAAAACCTTGATGCATGTGTTCGCTTGATAATTGTCTTGAACTCCTAACCCAAGCATCTGATTTCATATCCAGGTATTACAAGGTGGGTTTCTAGTTAGTTAACGTAATGTAAGTTTTACTTCGGAAAAGCCTTGTGTGTTCTAAATCCTAAAATATTTTAATATTTAAAACACTGAGGTCTAATCCTCTAACAGCAGGCCAGAAAGTTAGGTGTAAATAATTTCCTTCTAAAATAAAGTTCTGATTACCTTGTTTTAAATTAAAGGTGGGTTCTAAATTTAAAAAACTGTTACAAATTTCTTTTAGGCCATGCAATGATGAAAAAGAAGGATAATGCTCATTGTTGCTGCATGAATAAATGGCTTTACTCATATGTTGTTGTGACATTTCTTTTGATATAATCACGAAAGTCCTTTTGATATGAGCAAGGGGTTAAATTTATACATAACCATGTATTTACAGTAGATTACATTTGTGAGAAGTTTAGTCATTTACATCAGGTACTCTTTAAGGGATTG